AGGGGGCTGCAAACCCACCAATGTCAGCTTTGTAAAACAAGGCTTAGTGCAAGTTATGTTTCAACAAAGACACATTTTCAAGGTTTTCATTTGAATTCTGTGGTGTTCATGTTATAGTTTGAAAATATAATTAGGTTTCTGAGGGAGAAGCCAACCAGAAGGGCTAAATATTTTCAAAGCAAAAGGTCACAGCCCGCAGATAGTGTGGGGCCACAAGAACAGGAATCAAGTGACAAGTAGTGGTCACCAGAGGCCACTTTCAAGGAGAGAAGGCAATGTGTAATTTTTAACAGGCAGAAGTGTGCCAGCAAAAGCATCTTCCTTCGGAAATCTGAGGGAAAACTTGAAGAGATAATGTTTGGAAACCAGTTCAGTGTATATTTATTCTGATGGTGTCAAGGATCTGTGAAAATCGACCAAAAATAGGTTTTAACTAAAACTGTTCAGATCAAATGATCTTCACAAATTCCTTGTTTCCCTTAACAACTTTAAAATTGGATTGTAAGATGTGGAATTCATAAATGATATTGACTGCTGTTTGTTTAATGTAATTCGTAACTGAATTAAGTTATTACTTAAGTGTAGATTACTTTAATTGTTTTACCTGGTGTTATACAAAATAAAAAGGAATGCATATCCTCTTACACCGTGTGATTCTTGCAGTCTGCCAGAGTTTGAATGACACAAGGTTGAACATACTTCGACTTAGACTTAAGTCATAGAGTGCGATGGTGTGATGGCTTATAATACTGTCCTTCATCTCTGTTAACTGGATTTCAATTTACTCTGCACTGTTATACTAAGATTATTTAATTGGTTTCCTTGATCACCTGAAAATTTGACATTGTTTTCTTTCTTTGCATCCCAACAAGTATGCTTTTCAGAAAAAAGTGCTTTTGAGATAAACCAACACTGCTAAGCAAAGTCATGATTTTTTTTGCTTCAACTTCGCTAGGAAGGAAAGCAAGCGTCTTTGGCATCAGATTTCTCTATTACTCAGTTCAAACACCTTGGTAGATTGCTGATGGTTCATGGACGCAACAGCTACAAGAGATCAGCAGCTCTCAGCCAGTTTGTGATCCACAGGAGCCTGTGTATTAGTACCATGCAGGTAAGCAAACCACTGTTCTCTGAGAAACAAGTGTTGAAAAATTCACGATTATACAGTAACAAAAGACCGCTGGAATTGAATTGTGGGCTAGTAGTTCAGTCAGCATGTGTAATAACAAGCAAAACGCCACAACATTTTAAGCGTACCTATCATGGCGTCTTTCTATCTATATATTTTCCATATTATTTCACAATAAAGAGATTCTCTCCCTTCAGAAACACTCCCCCCATCCCATACCACTACCACCCATCCCAGTTTCCATCTGTTCACTCTGGGATATTGCAGGAGCAAAATGAGCAATACGGGAGAGCATACATAAGGGGTAATCTATCTAAAAACAAGCTTGAGGGTAAGCAAAGGTCTTTAATCTATGTGCACCAATCATTTTTATCTTTGTTAAAAGAATAACAAAACCTCATTCAAAGAAGTGGTTTCCTGCTGGTCTAATGAGTAACAGCACACTAACTGCACAGTCCAGAAAAGTAGCAGTTCTAGTTGTCTGATTGTGCTGACTTAGCTGAATGAGTAAATATAGCAAAAAATAAAACAAAGGACTACGGATGCTGGATGGTATGGAACGTTCAGCATCAGAGAGCTGAAGGTCAGAAGGGATAGTAAATATCCGACAAGAGGTGTGGTTATGAGAAGAGATGGAGCAGAGGGAAGGGAAGGGGAGGAAGGTCCCAGAGGGGTGGAGGTACCTCTGAATTATTGGAGCTTGTGTTCCTTAATGCCTGGAAGGAAGAGATAAAGTTTCTTGAAAGGTCTGAAGAACGGTCACTGGTCTTGAAATATTAACTCCGTTTCTACCTCCATAGATGCTGAGTTTCTCCAGAAATTTTTGTTTTTGTTTTGTGTAAACATAGCATTTGTCTTGTAATGAGCTTCTGTGCTCCTGAAGTTCAGAGGGAAAAACTCAATCAGAGCTACTGCAGCTGTTCAGTATCTTTATTGCAATTCCTGTCAAGAGAGTTTGCATGTTGTAGGGAGATGTAGAATCATAGAATTGCTGAATGGTGCAAGCAGGTCATTTGGCCTTATTGAGTCCACATTGACCCTCCTAAGAGCATCCCCCTTCCCCCACCATCCTTTTAACCCTGCATTTCCCCTGGCCAATCCACCTTGCCTGCGCATCTTTGGAATGTGAGAGAAAACCAGAGCACCCAGCAGAAACCGACGCAGACACAGGGAGAATGTGCAAACTCCACACAGGCAATTGCCAAGGGTGGACTTGAACCTGGGTTCCTGGCACTGTGAGGCAGCAGTGCTAACCACTGAGCCACTGTACTGCCCTTAAGAATGGAATCTGTTCATATTAACAGATGGGACAGCAGGTCTACAAATGCATGCCACCTCTGTTTGGAAATGGAGCTTTTGGCTATGAGATGGCCAGCCAATTAGATATGCAGAGGCAAGGGTTGCAGCTCGTCATGTGGCTAGGTGTGGCAGGAAGTCACTGGCCCCACCTTTAGCTAATGCACTCGAAGGATCAGACATCACGTTTAAATGTTACCTGGACAGGTTCCTTGTCACTTAGCAGTGTCATTCTGGCTGCTTGTTTGGAGCTTGTCTTTGTTGAATATGCAATGAAGCTCCTTGTTGGATCTGTCCACATGGGATCCCAGGACCTGGAAGGCATCAATCTGCACCCTCCCTCAGTCACATTTGCCCTCTTCTCTATCGATCACAACCCTCATTCCATCAGCCTTGTCCTGTTTTTTTGGTGACTCCTGATCCACCCACCATCACCCTTGATCAATTGCCATTCACTGTAGAGTTTCTGCCAGTCAGCTCCATTCCCCCTTCCCCCCCACTTCCCCCGACCTTCTATCCACCAGCTCAGACTCTCCCTCAATTAGCCTTCACCTTCCCTTTGTTACCCTTAACTCACAGGACATTAGTGTTGACCTTCCTTATGTAAACTTTGGTCTCCCCACAGTCTTGCTTGCCTTACCATGTGCAGGCATTGATCATTCCAGTGCAGTGCAGCTTCTCCCCTTTACCCTCCCTACCCACGTGCACATGCCTGTGTGGGGTCGTCACCTCTCTTTCCTTCAGTCTATTTGACCGGGTTTGCCGTCAACGAACCCCAGCAAAGCCAGAGTCCATGGGAAACAGCAGGAAACCTCTCCAAACAGTCCTAAATTTGGAGGAAGAAAAGACAATTAATTTGTCTTCCAGACTTGGATTGACACTACCTCTGAGTCCAGCTGCACAGGCAATATCAATCTATTAAAAGACTAGATCGTTGTAATTGCTACACATCTGAGTTTGTAACTTTTAATGCTCTGAGTAATGCCCTTACATCTGCTCATAAGGAATTTTTAAATACATCAAGAGAAGCAAAAAAAAACTTTATTCATGATTTATTGTGCAGTGGTGGTATAGCAGAAGGAATATTGTTCCTTTCTTCCACCAACAAAAATAACATGCACTTAAGTAATAGTACAAAATTGACAAATAGTTAATTGAATTAAGGAAGTTGACAGATGACAGTGTTCTTTTAAATATTGGCAGTGTGACCTTCATGCTGTTATCGAGTTGAGGAACAATGAGACTTCCAGTCTCTCCTACAGCCAGCCTGGAGTCCAGTTATTGGGACGCCAATGAGCTGATGTATTTCCACTCTCCTTGGGATCAGGCACATACCTCAACAATTTGGCTAAAGTCATATGTAGTGATTTGGAAGATCAGAAGTGACTCCATTGCACCACCAGCCCACTAATATTTTCTGTAATAGTCCGTTTCAAAAGTAATTATCATAATGTCCAACTTTGCCAGTTAAAATAGTTCCATTTGTTAATGAACTCTGTTTTTCCACAGGCTGTTTTCTCTTCAGTATTTTATTTTGCTTCCATTCCTCTGTATCAAGGTTTCCTTGTTATAGGGTAAGTAGATTTTGTCATATTAGTTGTAAATGGGTTGATGCAGCTTCCACATTAATTACTGTAAATATTGATACTACTTGCTTTGTTAATGAGGAAAGAATTATCTCAGAGGAAAGCTGAATTGATCTGTGGAATATAGTAAAGATTGAGTGTGTGTGTGAATAGTTCACAAACAAGTAAGGCCAATTATAACTTTGTACTGACCTCCTAAAAGAAGTTTATTAATTTCTTCTTAGTACTCATGTGCGTTTGAGAATAAAATGAAAATTGACAGATGTTCCATCTGTTTCAGAAGTTTTTGAGATTAACTCTTTTTTTAATATATGTTTTGAGTAACATGTAGTACATTCTAGAAGGTCAGTTAGCTCAGTTGGCTGGATGGCTGGTTAGCAATGCAGAATGATTCCAATAACATGGGTTCAATTCCTGTACCAAATGAAGTTATCATGAAGGACTCTCCTCCTCAACCTCTCCCTTCACCTGAGGTGTGGTGACCCCAGGTTAAACCATTGCCAGTCATCCCTCTCTAGTGACAGAGCAACCTTGTGGTCTGGTAGGACAATGGCAGCTGTAATTTAATACATTCTGCATTTAGCTGGTGGGACCTGATACCAAAGGGTTTCCTAAAGGAAGGTTCCTCAAAATGGAGGAAATTGAAAGGTAAGTCACAGTATGCCTCCAGGTCACTATTGGTCAATTGCATTAGTTGGGAAATGGTATGTTGAGCAAGGATGAACTCAATGGGGGTGCTAAAATCTATTTCGAGCAAATGATACTCAATGTGGTCATTGAAATCTGAGCAGCTATTTGCCTTAAGGTGTTCCTTCATAAGGAACAGTTTGAGTAACAGCATCCACTTTCTTCTAATTAACTGCTGTGTGACTATGCAAAGAAAATTACTTTGTTATACAATGTTTTAAAATAATTGGAACTTCTTTTGTTCGCTGTAAGTCAGTTTTACACTAATTAGTAAGGAATGCACCACTGTACCATTTCATATGTAACATGCTTGTAATGTAAAATCATGCCTGTTTGGGAATACAGAGTCTAATTGTAATATTAACAGACCCTTCCCTAAACAGAGTTGGTGTGTTATCTGAAGATGAAACTTCCAAAATTATGTTTGTCAGTGTTAGGCTGTAGCTCAGAAGGACACTGCAATTGCAGGTTGTCTACATCTGTAACAAACTCAGATATAGAACTGTGATGTCTACATGGATGCCATCCCTGAACATTACCACATTAAATTCTTAAATTTGTGGAAATCCCCTTGTGATGTTGCCCATGAATGATCTGTTGCTGTAAAGAAAGTTGTGAGTTATCATACAACTAAGAATGCATTATTCTGCTATGGTGGATCTGTGTTACACAGATCCTACTCATTAAACAAACAGCATCTGAATGGTCCTTTAGATGTAATCCAGAGACTTGGAGATTGGAATGTATTTTGGAACACACTTGTTAATTTGAACCTACAACTCAACAGGATGCATGTGTCATTTTAAAATTATTTGTACTTCAAGCAGTGAGTCAGGACTCAGGATAAAATAGAAAATGCTGAAAATAGCCAGCAGTTCTGGCAGCATCTATGGAGAGAGAAACAGAACTAACATTTCAGTTTGGCGACTGCCTTAACAGACCAAATAAGCTGCGAACTCTGCTTCTGTCTTCACAATGCTACTAGGTTTGCTCAGTATTTCCAGTATTTACAGTTTTTATTGCAGTCCTGTAGCATCCATGGTAGTCTCCTCTTTTCTCAGGATGAATTGCCTGTGTTTCCTCATCCTTAAGTGTGCTCACTACAGATTTTGATGTGTTGAGGTTGGACATGATCTGTTAATAAGTACAGGCAGTCCTGGGTTGTGAATCGGCAAGTCAAGTTGGATTCAAGTTGGAACACAGTGCAGGCCAATATAAAAGTAGCCATTTGTAAGTATAGGAAATGTTTGTATGTCAGATCTTTAAAATCACACCCCTATATGGGATTGGATTTGTAAATTGGGGACCCCTTATATTGCGTTATTAGTGGAGGAGTTTCTCCTTCCGTTTCAAATGATTGGCTTTGTTTCATTTTTCTGCATTGATTTTTGGAACAAATTTGCAAATAATCCAATCATCAGCAAGAAATGTCTTTGATTAGATTGGTGTACGGTAAGTTGGAACAGAAAATGTGACATCAGAAATATGGATAAGAAATATTATACTTCTACATTTTAATATTTTTGCTAAAGAATATCTTACTGGTATAGGAACATGCTATTAAGGCATTATTCTGCTAAATAGTAACAATAAATGCAGTAGAAGAATGCAGCATGAAAAAATAAGCAGGATTCCAGGATTGAATTGAAAGATGAAAAAAATCTTCATTACCCAAACTTGAACCATACCAATGTAAGTAATAATGACTAAATGGGTTTACTGAACATAAAAGAGAATAATTTTAAACCACACACACTATATGTAGAGAATCAAACAGCTCTTTCGCCCACCATGTCCATGCTGACTAGTAAGCACTAAATTACACTAATCCCAATTACCTGCCCTTGGTCCACTGCCGACTATGTCCTGGCATTTTAACTGCTTGTCCAGATGCTTTTTAAATGTTGTGAGAGTCTGTGCCTTCACCATCTTCACAGGCAGCTTGTTCATATTTCTATCACCCTCTGAGTGAAGACATCTCCTCTAAACCGCTTACTCCTAGTCTTAAGCTTGTGCCCTCTGATCTTAGACACGTCTGCCATAAGGTAAAGATTCTCATGATCTATCTGGTCTATGCCTCTCACCATTTTGTATACCTCAGTCACATTCCCCTCCCAGTCTCCTGAGCTCCAGGGAAAATGAACCCAGCCTATCCAGTCTGTCCTCATAACTGATAGCTTTATTCCCAGGCAACACCATGGAGATTCTCCTCTGCACCCTCTCCAATGCAATCACATTCTCTGATTGTGTGGAGATCAGAACTGCATGTGGTACTCCGTCTGTGGACTAACCAATGTTATAAAGTTGACTTCTCCTTTCCTGGAGTTGCTGCCTGGCTTGCTGTGTTCTTCCAACCTCCTGTCTGTGTACCTTATAAAGTTGTAACAAGACTTCCTTAATCCTATATTCTATGGCCCAGATAAGGAAGGCAAGCATCTGTCTGCCTTTATCACCACCCTGGCTACCTGTACTGACACCTTCAGGGATCAATGAACTTGTACACCAAGGTCTCTTTGTTCCTCAAAACTCCCTAGGTACCCAACATTTATTGTATATGTCCTTCCCTTATTACACCTTCCAAAATACTTCATCTTACACATATCAGGATTAAATTCCATCTGCCATTGCTCTGCCCAATTTACCAGCTGATCAATATCAGACTGTAGCCTGAGACTATTCTCCTCACTATTGACACCACCAATTTTCTATGTCGTTTGCAAATTTACTAATTATACCTTTTTGCATTCACATTCAAGTCATTAACATAAATAACAAACTGAAGGGTCCCAGCACCAAACCCTGTCACAGGCTGCTATTTTGAAAAACAACTCTTCACCGTCACCTTTTGCCTCCTATTTGTAAGCCAATTTTGGACCCAGTTTGCCAACTTGCCTTGGATCCCATGGACTCTTAACTTTTCAAGCTTTCATTGTGGGACCTTGTCAAAGGCCTTACTAAAGTCCATGTAAATCACATCAACTGTACTACTCTCATCAATATATTTAGTTACCTTTTCAAAAAATGCTCAATTAAATTAGTCAGACAGGATCTCCTTCAACAAATACATCCTGACCATCCCTGATCAATCCCTGCCTTTCCAAGTGCTGATTTAATCCTGTCCCTATGAACTTTTTCCAATAATCTCCATAACACTGGTATCAGACTCTCTGATCTGTAATCACCTGGCCTATCCCTGCTGCCCTTCTGAACAAAGGAACCACGTTAGCTATCCTCTAGTCTTCTGGCACTTCAGCTTTTTTTTATTCCCAAGCTCTACCCAGATGGCCTTGTTTGAAGAGCCTTTTAAGATATCCTCCCTCATTACTGCAGTGATGGTCTCCTTTACCAATAATGTAATGCCCCCATCTCTCTTACATCGTCCCGTCGCACCTGAAACTTCTATACCCAAGAATGTTGAGTTGCCAGTCCTGTCCTTCCTTCAAACATGTCTCAGTAATTGCAACAAAATCATATTCCCATGTGCTAATCAATGCTCTTAAGTTCATCTGCCTTACCAGTCAGACTGCCTGTATTAAAATAGGTACAATTTAGCTTTCTGATCTTCCCATTTGCCTTATCATGCCCATGTCTTCTGCGCCTTCTGGACTAGTATTCCTTTTATATCTGACTGAACCTTGCTCCTGACTTTACATCTAGCCTGTGCCCCACCACCTTCGCAAATTAGTTTAACACTTCCCCGACAGCATGAGCAAAATTCCCAGCAAGGATATTGGACCCATTCCAGTTCAAGTGTAACCCATCCAGCTTGTACAGGTCCCACCGACCCCGGAAGCTGTCTCAGTGATCCAAAAATCTTAAAGCCCTCCTTCTGACACCATCCCTTTAGTCATGCATTCATCTGACTGATCTTCCTATTCCTATACTCATTAATGCGTGGCATTGGAACTGATCCAGAGATTACAACCTTACTTGCCTTCCTCTTTAATCTACTACCTAACCCTCTTAATTCCTATTAGAGGACCTCTTTTTTATACCCATGTCGTTAATGCCAACATGTACTCTGACTGCTGGCTGTTCACCCTTCCCCTTCAGAATGACCTGCAGCCACCTCTGAGACATCCCTGACGCTGGCACCAAGGGGGCAACATACCATATGAGAGTCTCGTTTGCTGCCACAGAACCGTCTGTCAGCTCTCCTTACAATCGAGTCCCCTATCACTAAAGCTCTCCCAGTCTGGTGTTCACCCAACACTTTTCTGCTAGTGTAGGTTTTACTTGTGATGTGACCAGCTCACTAAATGTGATCTCCGTGATGTTCTAATGCTCATGGATGCTCCGTAGTGAGTCCATTCGCAGTTCCAGCCACTCCATGTGAACAATCAGAAGCTTCAGTTGAACACCCTTCCTGTATAAGTGGTTGCCATGGACACTGGAAGTGTTCCTGATTTCCCACATTTTGCAGGAACACTCCATGCAGCAAAATTCTCCTGCCATTGCAAACCTTAGCAACTACAAGCAATAAACAAGGAACAATTACTAAACCTTTAAAAATCAAAAGAAGTGCTGATGCTGTAAATCAGAAACAAAAACAGAAATTGCTGAAAAAGCTCAGCAGTTCTGGCATCAGTAAAGAGAAATCAGAGTTCACGTTTCATGTCCAGTGACCCTTCCTCAGTTTTGGTACCTAAAGTATGGATTCACCATGATCTGAAACTTTAACTCTGATTTCTCTCCACACACCATACCTGCTGAGCGTTTCGAGCAATTTCTGTTTTTCTTTCTGATTTCCAGCATCTGCAGTTGTTTTGGTTTTTAAACTATGTGAAATAGCAATTCACAATATTGTAGGAGTTAATTTAAATATTAATAATCTTGAGAATGGAGATCATAGTGAATCCATACTTTAGGTGGGATTGTAGAATATAAAAGTGACTTTAACCATGTTTGATTGTCATGTCACAGGATTTTCAGAAGGAGTTTGAAGTACCATTTATTAGGAATGTTGGCAACATTGAAAGCCATGGGACAAAAGGGCAGCACGGTGGCTCAGTAGTTAGCACTGCTACCTCACAGCGCCAGGGACCCAGGTTCGATTCTACCTCCAGGCCACTGTCTGTGTGGAGTTTGCACATTCTCCCCATGTTTGCATGGCTTTCCTCCAGGTGCTCCGATTTCCTCCCACAGTCCAAAGATGTGCAGGTTAGGTGGATTGGTCGTGCTAAATTGCCTGTAATGTTCAAGGATGTGTAGATTAGGTGGGTTATAGGGGATTGGTTCTGGGTGGAATGCTCTTAGGGTCAGTGTGGACTTGTTGGGCCAAAGGGCCTGTTTCCACACTGTAGGGATTCTATAAAAAGAGGAAGTAGCAGCAACTATGTCAAATTGTTGTATAGTAGAAAGAGAGTTGTGGTGAATGCTGTATTTTGGGATTGCATAAAGATAGGGTGGTGTTCCATTGGGTTTAGTTCAAGGGTGTATGTAAATGATTTGGACTTGGGATATTAAACTTTAATTTTGAAATCTACATATGTATAAAAGTTGGAAATGCAATAACCAATGAAACGCCTAGTAATAGAGTTCAAGAGTACACTGATCAGCCAGTGAAATGGGTACATACATGGCATGAAATTTTATGCAGCAAAATGAGAGGTGATGAAACGTGGTTGTAAATATTCAAGAATACAGTGGGTGGAATCTTGCACTGTTCCTGGGCATGGGAAGCAAAGTGGGCAGAGAATCAGGTTCCCGACAGCAAGTTCAAAGTTTACAGTTAGGCTCTTGGAAGTTAAAAGGTGGGTTCAGTTTCCTGATGGCGAGTATCGGAAGTAATTTTGCATACATTTGCATGTCATGTATGCTTACTAAAATTGCAAATCTCCAGAATTGAGTTCCTTTGCCAATTTTGTTATTCGTGAGGGGCAAGGAGTGTTTTCAGATTTATAAATGCATCTGAAATGTTTGCGACAAACTGTGTGTGCATATCCAACTTCTATGGTATTTTATATATAGATTCACAATGGCTGTTGTTTTGAATGCTGGAACAACAGCATTGATTGTTCAACAATGAGTTGAGTTGGTGAAGAGCCTGCAGTGGTTTGTTTTTGCTGCATCAGTTCTCAAGAGCAATATATAGTGAATCTGGAGAGCCCAGTACTGTTAGTTAAATGAAAATGCAGGGGTCAATCACTATGGGTATAATGGAGAAAGATGAAGGTCTTGACGTGCAGAGGTATCGTTCCTATCTCTAATTCCAGAATGCCCATCTGCTTCAGGGATACGTCATAACATCTCTGAATGTGTTAGTTAGAGATATGTAAAGGAGAAGGATTTAAAAGGAGTAAAACAAGATTAATTTTGAATTTGTGTGTCAGCAGTAAATATTGAAACTGTAACTTTGTATGTGGACTATCTGTCTTGGAGTCTGACCAAAGTCAAGGAGTTTTTTCGGAAAGGTGGGGCTCAATTGAATCCAGTCATCTACTTTGAAGAGGCTACGTATTGAATATGAAGTGCCCTCCAAGAGCAAGTTTGAAATATCTTGTGATATTTACCATATATGTATTGACCCTTGAATTAATAAATGTCTTAAATGAAAAGTTTTGACTTCATGCCCTTTTTAACAACGTTTAAGTGCTGTCCTGCCAAGCAGTTATATTTATGATGCTCAGTGTTGATGTAAGTGCAATGTCCTATCCACAAGGCAAACCTGTTTTGACAGCAACTATCCTATGAGCCTTCTAACAACGCATAGCCAAGTGATGGAAGGAATCTTCACTGCTCTCCAGTGACACCCATTCTTCAATCACCTACTTGCAGATGTTCAGTTATTATTCTGCGAAACCCACTGAGCTCCAGACTATGGTTCAGTGAGGAAAACAAGAACTAAAATTGCTGCCAAGAAAAAAAATGGTAGTATTTATCCTCGTATGGCAGCAAGGAAGCAAAGCAAAACTTTGATCAATGCAGTTGAAGGGAACACCTCTCATTGGCTTAAAACCTGACGCAAAAGCAAGTAATTGCAATTACTCAAGGCCAATTATCAAAGTCCCAGGACATTTCTCAGAGGTTCTTTTAAGTATGGGTAATTATTCCTACCCATTGTTTCCTCAGTGGCCTTCTACAAGCGAAGAGGACTAAGGCAGTAAGATGAGAGGAGTACTATAATGTTCAAGTGTCTCTTCAGTTTCCCACCATCCTAATCTGAACACATATTGTCATTTTCTTCATTGTCACAGGATCAATATCACCAAATTCCCTACTGAACAGTATAAGTACAAGAACTGCAATAGGGATAGGCAAGAAATGTAGTCTTTTCAATACTGGCACCTTCTAAAGTCAAAGAAATCATTTTTAAAAAGTCATGATGCTTTAGTTATTTATCAAAGGAGAAATGTAGGAGTGAAAATGAAAGGTGACACTTTTATATTTATCTTCTCAGGTATTCAACAATTTACACCATGTTCCCAGTGTTCTCTCTTGTTCTGGACAAGGATGTGAAGTCAGAAGTTGCAATGCTTTATCCAGAACTATACAAAGATCTTACTAAGGTATGCATTAGAATAAATCTCAAGATGAATATGTGCTATGCAAGAAATGTATGTATTTTTATTGTTACTTTTGGAATGTTACTAATTGAACTAATTAAGTTCAGATTTTCAAGTGCTGTATTGTTTATATAAATGTCTAAATTTATATCTAGTCTTCTTTCATATATTGCAAAAAATATATGACTTATTTGAACTTTATAATCAACATTTTTGTTTTAGTACTTTATTTAAAGTAAGAAGAAGACCTTGCATTTATAAGTGCCTTTCATGACCTCAAGATGCACCATTGTACAATACAACTGATGAAGTACCTCTGAATTGCAGTCACTCTTGTGACAGACTTTTGTCACCATCATTGAGCATTTTTCAAAACTGTTCACTAGTTTGTATAGAGAGAAAGTTACAACATATATTTATGTTGCTGCACATTACTAGAATTATGTTATATTCCAAAAAAAGAGTTTGTTGGTGGTGGAGGGAGTGGATGGATGCAAATTAAGTGGGCTGCATTGTTCTGAATGGTATAAATCTTGAGCATTGCTGGAGCTGCAACTATCCAGGCAAGTGGGGAGTATTGCGTCATGCTCCTGACTTGTGACTTGTACATGGTAGACAGACTTTGGGCAGCCAGGAGGTAAGTTACTCATTGCAGAGCTCTCAGCCTCTGACCTGTTCTTGTAGCTACAGTATTTATATGGTTATTCCAGTTCAGTTTCTGATCACTGGTAACTGCTAGGTTGTTAGTAATGGGTGGTTGAGTGATAGCAATACCATTGAATGTCTATTAGCCCAATCCTGACTGCTGTCTAGGTCTTGCTCCATGTGGGCACAGATTGCTTCTGTGCTTAACTCTGAGGTGGTGCTGAACATTTGTGCAATTGTCAGCAAATATCCCTGTTTCTGCCCTAATAGATCATAGAATCATAGAATCCCTACAGTGTGGAAACAGGCCTTTCGGCCCAACAAGTCCACACCTACCCTCAGAGCATCCCACCCAGACCAATCCACCTATAACCCACCTAATCTACACATCCCTGAACACTATGGGCAATTTAGCATGGCCAATCCATCTAGCCTGCACATCTTTGGACTGTGGGAGGAAACCGGAGCACCCAGAGGAAACCCACGCAGACACACGGAAAATGTGCAAAATCCACACAGTCGCCTGAGGGTGGAATCGAACCTGAGTCCCTGGCGCTGCGATGCAGCAATGCTAACTGCTGAGCCACCGTGCCACCCCATGATTAAGAAAAGGTCTCAGGGACCTATTAAGGCCTTCCTTCCATGTCAATTTTCCACATGGCAGACAGGCCCCTTTAATGACTGAAATATGGTCAATGAGAGGGGGCATCCTCCAAGTGGCAGATTGAGAGAACAAGTGCTCTGTCTTTCTATGAATGTTGCACTATCAGTCCCTCCCACAGCCAACTTAAAGAGCTCACCACCCATCCTGTCCTGTCCACAAAGTCACTCTGATGGTATGGCTGCGTGTACTTTGAAGGATTTTTAAAGTTCTGAGAGGGCACCTCCATTGTAAAGTATCCTGTGCCCTCTCCCTCCTACCTGCCTCAATGAAGTCCATGTATTTTCATGACTGAAGGGACTCCTGTTGAGACCCCATCACCATCTGAGAAGTAATTGGTTTTAAACACCAGAGATTAAATATTGGTTTGACAGAGATCAGGCAACTGCCTTTCCAGTAAGAGTTTTATTTCAATAACATTGCAAAACTCCAATCCTGCTGATCACTTGCTCCCTATAAGTACAGTCAACTTCTCATCCAGTTATCTCTTGAAATTACATGTAACCAAGATCTTTTCCCTAGTTTCACTTGGCTTCAGACCCCACTAGATGCTAACAATTGGCCAACCCAACAAAAATTTAGTTTGACAGGGTGACACCAACATTCTGTGGGGTCAGGACCAGGAAGTGATTCCAAGTTGGAATCTTGACCACAAAACTAAAATCCTCACCCAAGGAGTAAGCTATAATATGCGGGACCAAAGTCATGGAGAGGTTAGGTACAGAGTAAGCCAATAAAAGCGAGAAAGTGCTGGGGAAACTCATCAGGACTGATAGCATCTGTGGAGTGAGAAACAGAGTTAAAGTTTCAAGCCCCAGTATGACTTCTCTTCAGAACAACTTTTAACAAAAAAACCATTTGGGTTTACAGCTGTGTTTTTTTTTGAGTTGGTAACCCACAAATTACTAGATTTATTGAATCCAATCTTACAGCTTGCAATCGAAATTTGAAATGAAAATCTTTAAATCCTGCAAACGTTGTTTGGAAATTTTGTGCTGGAACACAGAAAACAGGTTAGAGACATGGGACTTGACACAGAAGAGGATGAAGGTCAAGGAGCTTTGAGTGAGGGTGCATTGCATAGGGTGGAGTGCGGAAGAGTGGCTTTAGAGCAGTCAAGTTTTAAAGTAACAAAGGGGTGGATGAGAATTTCAGTGGTGATAGAAGAAATGTAAGGCTGAAGATTAGAAATGGTGTGGAGTCAAATGTAAACTGTCTTGATGGAAGTAGTGTTTGAAACTCAGTTCAGGACAAATGGAAAAACTTTGACAAGCTTACCTATATTAAAGACATTGTATAACTGCAAACTCATCATTGATAAGATCCATTGATGTAGGGCATTGACTCATTCAGTGAGAACTAACAGTTGCGAGAGGGATGGAGATGTACTAAGGAATTTTTGTTAGGATGGAGGATAATGGATTTCTGGCGATTTACGTATCGATTGAATTCCTATGCCATTTTCATCTGAAGAGCCTTTGACGTGAAAGGGGATCAAAATTTCTTAACAACACTTGCTGTGAAATCTGTTATTCTGGCCCTCTCAATTCTGGATTGAACGCATGTTAGTTTCAAAAATTCCATTAGGAAATTAATATTTAATGTATATTTCTAAATGTGCTGTTTTTTCATCATCTTGCACCATGTTGTAGGGCAGGAACAGGAACTCTCCTGTGACATCCACATGCTGAAGACTATGGACAATGAAAGAAATGCTTGTCCTCATTTTTGTCAGAATATCATTGACAACTTGGGTCAAATAAATCTCAATCCCAATTCCTCTCCTCTTGTTCAAGTACACTAGAACTATACACAAATAAACAGAATCTCTCAAGTCATCTGAATAGCCAAATTGAGAATACTGAAAAGGGATATAACTGTGAGGGAAGTGAGGGTGAGTGATGGTCATAACTTGAAGTTAAACTTCTGTTGGATGATAGCTGCCCACACTGGGCCTAATGAGTGATGAAGCCATTCCCATTGAAGCTCTTTTCCATTTTTCTCTACTGCTGTCCTGAAGGTCGTGATTCCTGATGATATCTGGATGCAAATGTTCACAGCCAAATGTCCCAAACTATAATGTACAAAGTTAGTTTCTGCATTAACTCTGGAGGGAGAGTCATTGTATCTTACCTCAAAATCCAGCTCTCCACTTCCCGAGCTGGGTAACTGGATAATGCTTTGCTAATTACTGTTTCTCTCCCTTTCCGTCCTGAGGTACTACAATCCATGTTAGTCTTCCCATCATTTTCCTGGCTGAGATCAGTGAATTCATGGATAATTTATGGACTTTATTGAGGATATTCCTTCCTTTCGAGACTTTGTATTATGTCTATAGTGCTTTAATTGAACAAGACACTGAGGGACTTTGAATTAGTATTTGGCCTCGGAGTATAGTGGTTACGGCAATTATTTTGAGCAGTTTGTGGTCAAATGCAATCACCACAGGATTGCTAGTCTCTCAGATCTGCTAGCCTCAGCTCTTCTGAGATTGATAGTCAGTAGGTGGGATACTTTGTGGTTGTCTGGTAACACAGGAAAAGTATCCATTTGAAAGACAATCCAAGTGAGACAACTCATTGCCTATCTCCATAATCTCTGATCTGAACACTTGTAAATATTTCCCAAAGTAATTCTCACAGGAGAATTTAAAACCTTTCAAAGGGGAGAAAGCAATAGAAGTATATTTATAGATAATTATGTTCGATTGTTGGTCTTAAGCGAATGGTAAAATTAAAATTTGATTACTAACTGATGACCTCTGCTAGAGAAGGGACAGGCAAGGATTAGTTTTTTTGTTTGCATCAGAAACTGTAGGGAAACTTTTTCTAAGATCGGACCCATTTCCTTTTCAACAAAGCACATTGATGACTTCAGATAATAAAGTTCATGAGGCATTTTCCCAGCACTGAAAATAAATTTTTCAGCAGCAGTGTTACAACTACAACATTGAATCTATGCTGACAAATTTCAAAACTCCAAGTAGATGCAATGGAAATTTATGCTACAGCTGATGCAGTTAAAGCACCAGTTCCAGGAATCGATGCTGCTTAAAATCTCCAAATACGAAAATAACTCAATTACTTGTTAAAAATGTCAATTGATTAGTTTCCAAAGAATTCTAAATTAAATGTGTTATTGAGCTTTCCTGTCTAGATCTGAAAATAGCAACCTTAAAATATGTAGATTTTCTGTTCTGTGTTGAATTGAATAGTAAGGTGGAAGAGTATCTCCAAAATTGATTCTTTTCTCTATTTCAGGGTCGACCACTCTCCTTTAAAACCTTCTTGATTTGGGTTTTAATTAGTATATACCAAGGTATGGAAATCACACTTTATCATAAATAGATGTGACATAAAAAAGAATTTGCAGTTCTTTAATGACTTTCATGACCTCCGAATGTTCCAAAGATATTATGGGTAATTGTGCAACACTTGAAGTGCAGTTACTCTTGCAATATAGGAAATTCAGCAGCCAATGTGGGCAAAAATTACAGTGACCTAATTGTGATAATGACCAGATAAATGCTTTTAGTGATGTTGATTAAAGGATTCATTTTGGATAGGAGAATGTTCCTACTATTCTTTAAGCAGTAGGATGGTAATGTTTGACATCTATTTGAGAGTACGAACAGATCTCAATTTAATATCTTTTCTGAACGATTATGGCAACAACCATGCAGCATTCCCTTGGTACTGCTCTGGAGTGTTAGCCTAAAGTGAATTTTCAACCACCAATGTTCTGATTCAGAGACAGGACTATTTGACTTGTAAGTGTCTGCATTTCCATTCAAAAAAGAGTAAAAATATTTTCACTTTATTTTTCCAGGTGGTATAATAATGTATGGGGCTCTTCTGTTGTTTGATTCGGAGTTTGTGCATGCAGTAGCCATTTCCTTTACTTCACTCATTCTCACTGAGTTACTGATGGTGGCACTCACTATCCAAACCTGGCACTGGCTCATGATTGTGGCAGAACTTCTCAGTCTCAGCTGCTACATTGCTTCTCTTGTTTTCTTGCATGAGTTCATCGGTAAGTCAATGTTAAAACTTTGATGAATGTACACACAGAATTTCTTAATTCTTTCCCAATCTTATTATTAAAAATGTTGTGTTGATTCCTTGCAGTTTTACACAGTACTATCTAGTACCTTTAGTAATAGTATTATTTATATTTATAAAACATTCACTAAGTTAGAATTTGATGTTGGGTTGAGAATGGATTTGTTATTTCTCTGATGAAGTTCCCCAGTCTAAACAAAGTAAATTGCATCAGTTTGAGGGGTGAGTTGGCTAAGGAAATTGAGAGACTAGGTTTGCAAATATAACAGTTGATAGGAAATGGCAAGCATTTAAAGAGTTGCTTCACGATGCACAATGACCATACATTCCCTTAACTACTAAAAAGGAAAAATGTTCCCATTCTGGCTAACTAGGGGAATTACAGATAATATTATATTAAAAGAAGATTAAAGCCTGTGGATTTAAAAATTTAACTGATAACCAAGAAATTAGAAAAGAAAATAGGATATGAGAGTAAACTAGTTAGAGACATAAAAAGCTTCTCCAAACTGTTTTATAGATGCATACGAAGTGAGAGATTAGCAAAAGTAAATGTGGAGCCCTTACATGTGAGTCAACAAAGACATGTAGCAGATACATTGCCAAACACTTTCTATCTGTCTTCATGATAGAAGACACAGAAAACATACTAGGGGCAGTGGGGAATGGAAGATAGAGTGAAAATGAGGAATTTTAAAGATATTGATATTAGTAAAACATTAGCACTGGCAAATTGATGGATCATAAGGCAACAAATTCCCTAGATATCATGGCTACACCTTGACTACAAAGAGAGTGAATGCACCAATTTGACTTTCCAGAATACTTCAGGGATCAAAGAGTAGGAAATGTAATCCAGTAACTCAGAAGGGACGGAAAGAAAAACAGATGTATAGGCCAAATTATCTTTACACATTCGTGGGCCATTGACGTCACTGGCTGGGTCAGCATTTTCCGCCCATTCTTAGTTGCCCTTCAGAAGGTGGTGCTGGACTGCCTTCTTGAACTGCTACTGTTCATGTGCTGTAGGTAGACCAACAATGCCATTAGGGACGGAATTCCAGGATTTTAATCCAGCAGCAGTGAAGGAAAGGTGACAAATTTCCAGAGTCAGGATATTGAGTGACTTGGCAGGGAACTTGTAGGTGATGTTCTAATGTATTTGCTTCCCTTGTCCTTCTAGATGGTAGTGGTCACTGGTTTGGAAGGTGCTGTCAAAGGTTGTTTGGTAAATTTCTGCAGTGCATCTTGTGCATGGTACACAGTGCTGCTACTGACAATTGGTGGTGGAAGGAGTGGATGTTGGTGAATATGGTGCCAATCATGCAGACTGCTTTGGCCTAGATGGCATCAAGCTTTTTGAGCGTTTTTGGAGCTGCATTTATCCTGGCAATAGGGTTCCACCACACTCCTGACATGTGGCTTGTAGATGGTGGACCACCTCTAGAGAGTCAGGAGTTGAGTTACGCACTGCAGTATTCCTAGCCTCTGACCTACTCTTGTAGCCACTGTGTTTATGTGGTGGGTCCAGTTCAGTTTCTGATCAGTGGTAACCCCACAATGTTGGTAGTTGAGGACAGTGATGATAATGCCATTAAATGTCAAGGGATGATGTTTAGATTGCCTCGTAATAAAAAAATGTTATTGCATTTCATTAGTGTGGTGTGAATGTTAGTTATCGCTTTTCAGCCCAAGCTTTGATATTTTCAAGTCTTACTGCATTTAGACATGGACTGCTTTAGTATCTGAGGAGTTGCGAATGGTGCTGAATATTGTACAATCATCGGCAGACATCCCAACTTTTGACCATATGAAGCAGCTGAAGATGGTTGGACCTAGGACACTCCCCTGAGGAACTGCTGCAGCTAGCCTGACAGCTGTAGGGATTATATTCGGGCCATAATGACAGGGCGATTAGACTTGATGACATGGTTATGCAGAGCCAATACAGATAGATGAAAGGAAAATAATATTTGATAATTCCTTATGTGTTTTTTTGATAATGTACCTGACGGTGTTAATAAGGAGGAACCACATTCACCACCTTCAATATTCAGTCCCTCCAATGCCAATGCACTGTGGCAGCAGTGTAACAAGGTACAATGCAGTAACACAACCAGACTCCTCTGGAAGCACCTTCTAAACCTTGCAATGTCCATGATCTAGAAGAACAACAGCAGTAGAACATGAGCACACCATCACCGGCAAGTTCCTCTCTAAGTTTCAGATCATTTCAATTTGAAGCAATGTCACCATGTCATTCGGCCTCCATCCTGGAGCTCCATCTCTAGAACTACTGTGGATGGATCTACACCAAAATGGGCCACAGCAATTCCAGAAAGTGACTCTATATCATTTTCTTCAGGGCAATTAAGGTTAGGCAGTAAATGCATGCCTTGCCAGTCATGTTCATATCACACGAATGAACTTAAAAACAGCAAAACTGGATAATCTATCCATTGATAAGTGAGTGAGTAGTACAACTATGTTGCTGTACTGTAGTGAATAGCAGTTTGAAAGCATTGTCACACGCTCTAAATGACTACTGGTGACCATCAGAATAATGTTTCATTGCTGTTATCCCTAGCTGCAATAATGGGATCATCTCCTGTCTCGTCAACTGTTATAAAAGACCAAATGCAAATAAAATTCATGATGTTGCTGAATTAACTGTCCAAATTTATCAAAAAATGTACATATTCATAGCTAAAACAGTTTGCGAGAATTAAAATGTTAGCGGAGATGGAAAATTGTTCTGGGTTTTCAGTTTCTATTCACTTCAGTGAAATGTTTAATTATTCAGTATCAACGCAAGTGGAAGTGGTTTCAATTGTCATAGTGGAAAACAAAATAATTGTGATGAGCTGGTGTTTCAGCAGGAAATTTAACTTCCCACTGACTATCATGCCAACAAGCCATTGTATGACCTTGTATCTACAAACAACAGCAACCTGATTGTGAGAAGATTAACTCCAAGTGCATATGTGTTGAGAGTGGGCTGTTGCCATAGTGACATCACTAGCTGGCTAGAGGATGTGTGGGAGTTACTCTGCTCATGGCTCCTCCACTTCCATATGGCTTTGGTGACAGCATAATGGTCTAACTTCTACTCTCAAGAAGAGGATGTTGTGCAACAAACTGCCTTACTGTTGCAAAGTAGCTGAATGTAGTCCATTGATATGTGTTGTGATTTTACACAATCTCCACTTTGATTGAAAACTCCCTCTTTATTGCAACATAAACTTAGAGAAATTGTTCAAACAGCAGCATTTTGACAGGAAATAGTAGGGAAAAAATGTGATTCCATGTATCCTCTTCCCTAATTCCTCACCTTTACAGAAATGAAATCAGATTGCCGCAACCACTTAGGAGGCTGCAGCTGTAGAGCGACAAGTTAACTTTTCAAGATGATGACCTTTCTTTAGAACTGGTAATAGTTAGAGAAGTGACCAGTTTAAGCAAATACGGATGAAGGGAAAGGGCAAAGAGAAGGAAACGAAAACAGAAGAGGCTAGTGACAGATTGAAAGACAAGAAAGGTTCAGTGATTAGAGGAGTGGTGGCACAAAGCAAAGAGGGTGCAAAATTGGAATAAGAAAGTAAAGATGTGCCCAGAGGAGGGGTAACTGAGAAGGCATAATTATTACTAAAGGGCTCGACTTCATCCCCTTCTACGTAATTAATTTGATGCCCACACAACACCGAGCTTTTCCATCACAATTGTCTCTGCGTACAGTTTTTCAACCAGATGTCTAGATGTTTTCATTGAGAACTGTCCATGTGACTTTGACCGTCTCAATGTCATTGCTTCCCACGTTCACTGTATCAGATCTCCCTATTAATATGTAACACTCTGTTGTCTCTGGTCCAATCCTAAATACAAAATCCAGTCTTGTTACTGAATCATTATCTGTGAAATTGAATATCACTACTCACAAATAGGAAATTTGCAAATATTACTTACTCATTCAAGAAATCTACCAACAAAGATGAAACTTATTATTTGGCATAAATTTGTTTTATGCACTCCACATCTTTACCCAGCCTCCATACTGTTTTAAATTATTCACATCCAAAGCTTTCTTCAGTTGTGTTGAAAGATCATGGCCCTACCTTCCTTGAATGCACTGATCTAGCTGGAATACAGGGATGCTGACATTGTAACAACGCATTACTCAATTTTTCATGCTGAAGCTAGAAATTGTTAGGTTATTTGGTCATGGACAAATCAAGGCCATGCTGTGATAGACCATCTTGTTTCAACCTAGGGACCAGAAACAATAATAGCTAAAACAGACTTGTCAGCCATGAAGAGTCCTCCTTACTGGGATATGGTTCTAAAAGTGGGAGAGCTGTTTCAGGCTAGTCTCCTTTGACAGCACTTTCAGACCAATGACTACTTCCATCTAAAAGGATAAGGGAGCAGATACATGGGAACACCATCACCTTCAAGTTCTCCTCCCAGCCACTCATTCACTATCACTGTTCCTTCACTGTCACTTGGTCAAAATCCAGAAATTCTGTCCATAATGGCATTGTGAGTGTACTTAGAGCACATAGACTCCAGAGGTTCAAGAAGGCAGTTTACCACAGCTTTTTCAAGCATAACTAGGGATGGACAGTACCCACATCCTATGAGTGCATTTTTAAAGAATTGTCCTCATGTTCTCAAACATGTCTATAAGAAGTAGGTCATGTGCACATTCTTGATGCTTACAGAGACTTGAATTGAAACTGTCTAAATACAAATCATGTACAAACCATTGCATTCAGCTGAACAAGACACTTCCACTCCTCAGACTGAGTTGGAATGCACTTGAATCCCAGAAATAAAAGAACAACACACAACTCACAAAGCTAATCAGTGAGTACATAGATATTACAAAGCACATGTTTGTGGGTAGTGACAGATGCTTTAGTAATAAGATGCTTTAGTAATAATATTGGATTTCATATTTACTTGTTGCTCTATTTTGAGGTAATTTGTACACTGCCTTTTGAGTGTCCCTCTAGGGCAGACTATTTGGAAGCTTAGACTGAAGACCTGGTAGCTACTCCTGCCTCTTTGCCTATAGAGCAATTGATTCAAGAAGTGGAAGCAACTGGACCCCTTTCTGTGGCATGAGAAAATTAAGGCTCCAATCAGTTTTCAACAAAGCTGATCCATTGAACTACAGAATTACAAGTTCAACACTGATGAATTTTTCAGAATGCCCTGAAATTTCTCTTTCCAAAGATAGTGAAAGTGTTCTCCATCACCATTGTGTAAAACTGACATTAACTTCTGGCAACTACACATACACAGTTAATGCAAAACCAGAGATTGCTGTCATTGATACCTTGCTCCACAAAGGCACCACAGGGTACTTTATTGCAGTATTTGCAGATTCTTTCAACATAGAATCAGTGATTTAAAGTGAACTTCAACTATTTACATGCTATTTTCTCTTTAAGGTTATGCCTTTTTAAATGAGAAGCAACTAAGTTTTAAATGACATACCATGTCACAATTAATGCTGAACAATGTCTCTTACTAAAAAAACTAATTGTAGAAGTCTGGAGCATCATTCCTTCCATTCTAAAATAATTCCATTTTTTAAAAAATAATCACAGTTTTCTTCCACTTGTGACTTAATCCCAATTATATGATTTGATTTTTTTAGTCTGCTGTGTGTGAAATTATGAGAGAGTAAATGACGGTGTTATTTGCTTCTTGATTTGCTGTCTGTGAGAATTTTTCAGTTTGATTGGCTGCTCACACTGCCTGATGAATTCATGTTCCTCAATGTCATCAATCCCCTACAGTTGATGCTAGAATAAGAGTGACATTGTATAAGGGAATTCACAGAACCTGTTCTGTCAATTGAATCCAAGGAAGTAGTACTCAATATACTTTAGAAGCAAAAGTAATACTAGCTGTATTTGTAACTAATACATTGTTTGCTTTTCTGTTGCAGATGTCTATTTCATCATCACCTTATCCTTCCTGTGGAAAGTCACAGTAATCACTCTCATCAGTTGTCTTCCCCTGTATGTTCTGAAGTATCTGAGAAGAAGATTCTCTCCTCCGAGCTACTCTAAGCTTACCTCGTAGATGCTGAGATGTGGATTATAATCCATCCCTTTAAGGATTCACATCCAACAACTTGGGAAGCTTATTTGACAATTTCAAATACTACTGATGCACTAAAGTTATAACTGTGACACTCATGACCAACTGATGAATAACAATTGTCCAGCAGACACTACCAGAGTTGCAACATAATGCTTCAGAGTCATTAGTTTTAACTGCAACTAAAGTCAAAAAGGGAATCATGGTACTGTACAAAAGTAAGTCAGTCAGAAAAAAAAAATGCTTAAAGAAAAAGGAACACAACCCGCTCAATGAAATCGTGGTTAAGCCACCAATACAAAATAATTTAAAATTGTCCCTCTTTAATCATTGTTTTACTTTGTTTGTGACCTTTTTCCACTATCGTTCAGGACTTAAACAAATTGTTGATATGTTTCTATTCTCCAACTAAGTTGTACCTATAGACTACATGAATTAACATATTTTCTTCAATGTTTCAACCATGTCTGTGTGTTTTCACCTTAGTTACAGGTTACAAAGGTACAGCATCTCTTTAATTCAGACTGATGATAGAATCCCTTCTTCAAAATGGTGATTAAAACACTGTTTCACTGTGAGTGCCATGGGGCCTCTTTCCATGTGGGCTGTGGTAATGAACACACAAGAACAAATTCTTCATCTATGTTAGAACACTTAATTCATAAATTGATATGTTCATAGAGTCAGTGTACTTTCTATTTTGTTATAAATACATCTGTGTTTTGAATGTGTCATAGATCACACGTGCACTTTATAACCAGTGTAAGTTTTCCTATAGTAAGGTACCCAGAATGGCAATTACGTACATTTCCAGTTCTGTGTTCAGAAGGTTTTTTTTTTGTAGTATCTCTCAGTTCAGATATCTGTTGCTTTGATGAACGAGTCAAGAATGCTGACTTAAACTTTCTATAAAATAATTGCGAAGCCACATTTTCTTTTCATCACATCTACTCCTACTTTTAAATAATAGTAGCTCTAAAAGGACTAGTTTCGCCTTCCCAGCCATGATTGTTTGTTTTCATGGCTCTCTCTTCTTGACATGATAAAAGAGAACTGTAAAAAGAACAGAGTAATTGTGTCAGGAGTGCTCTCATAAAAACATTTTTAATTGTAAATTGAGTGATAAAAGTGGATACTGGTTATTTAAAGATGATACTGTGCCCTGGTGATTCTGGAGTGAAAAGTGAGTATAGTTAAATCATATTGCATGGTACCATCCCTTCTGCTCAGTAAAATTGAACTTGTGCGAGGTAAAATATATGTCACTTTTTATTATACAGTGGAAACCTATACACATCAATCACACTAATCATTGCCTG